GTTTTTATTAACCATGACCACGGAGGACAAGATCCTCAGCATGATCAGTAGGATGTAATTCCCTAACAGTCGCTGGGCACAGGGTTTTACGGAATCGTCGTGTTTTACTCTGGTATTTCTTAACAAGTGAATAATAATTTGTGGTAGGTCTTATTACTGCAGGTTATGAATAATAAAACACAAATAGGATGTGTTAATTATGGAGAGAGCATGCTTCAATACGTTTTAGAGGAACTAAATTTCTTCCAATCCACTTGCTAGCCTGTAACAACTTAGATTCTGTAAGATGCCAGGCTTTTATGCTTTCTCTAAAATCAAGCACTTACTGGCCTTAAGAGTGGACAAAAATAGTTTCTTTTCAAACACGCCTCCAAAACGTCTTTGTGTATTCAAAGAAACATCCTTGCTTACTGGCTTTGTGGTGTCTTTAGCAGTTTTACAGTTATCCTCGGCTTCTTGACTCCAGGTCCAGCACTACTGAGACCAGGGTAGTTAAGACAAATGGTTCAGAAATCATCTAGTTGTCTCTGTGTGCGCATTACCTTGCCTCCCTCTGCACCATTAACCTGAAAACTGCCAGCCTGTAGCTCTTGCCTTCATAGTCTTCTACATTTAGACCAATGCTGACAAATTCACTTCATTTTTTTAGAAAGAGTCTCGTATAGTCCAGGCTGTCATTGAACTCATAAGACAGTTACGGATGACCTTGAGTTTTTGATCCACAGGCCCCCACCTCCCAAGCACTGGGATTACAGGCTTGCACCAGCATGCCTGGTTTATGTAGTGCTGGGGTTGAAATCCAAGGTTTCATGCCTGTTAGACAAGCAGTCCACCAACTGAGCTACATCGCCATCCTCTCAGCCCTTTAAATGCTGTATTTATGCATAAGAAGATCAAAAACTTGGACATTCAGTCTTTTTTTCCATGATTCCCTGCCTCATCCCTTATGGCACTCACGCGGCAAAGGTGAATACAACATGGTGGCTTAAATTCCATATTGAGCATTATCCCATTTAAAATTCTTTCAACAGAGTTAACCATATGCATTACGGCATAATTAATTAATCACTTTGTAGTGCATGAAATAGCAATGTGCCATTTAGCTGACTTTATCATGGATTGTTTATATATAATAACTCTATCTTTGCAATCAATTCCTCTGTGAGTTAACCTCTCAAGAAGATCTTTTAACGAAAACCACAGCACATGTTTCTAGTTGTCAGAGGCTAATAGAAGACAATGTTAGAAATCATGGCAATGGAGAACAGTTTGGAAGTAAAATAACATTCGTAAAAAGCAGGCAGAAAAGGAGTCAGTTTTCTTCCATTTGTTTTCCCAAAAGGCACAAGAAATTGCCTACTATGAAGCTTGCAGAACAAAATCAGCTGAATTGTGAATTTGCCATTTCACTATAACTGTTTCTATGTATTACTGGTGCACCATGTTTCCAATGTGAACATTGATGAAAAATAAATAAAATAAAATTCTTTCAATAGTAGAACAAGAAACAGTTTCCCTTTGTTCTCCTCCAATGTACAGATCTATGGATTACTGCCAGAAAAGCCTCCCCAGGGTGTTCATTATGGCAGGAATGACGAAAACTGCATCGTTGTAGACGATATCACTCACAACGGGATTGTGTACACACCGAAGCAGGACCTGGGCGATGACGACATGAGCAGCGTGTTTGAGGTAATCCCTCCTGGAACTCTCCAGAGCTGGCTGATAAGCCTGTGTTAAAATGCAAAATCCTGGAGCTCCTAAGCACTACAGTCTTATCCTACCGTCTCTAACCAAACAATCATTAACAGAAAGGACTCTCAGAGTTTGTTACTTTATGCACATACATATCTAAGAGAATTTCTCTAGCACCTTAAGTAACAGTGGCTTACCGCTTTATAGCTAAATATGTAGATATGTAAATATATGTATATATTGTATCTTAGAGATTAATACATGAGTAGCTCCATGGCAGCTGTAATATAGGTCATTTGAAAGATAAATTCTTTAAATTTACATTTAAAGAATTTACGTGTCTTTATATACATATAAACTTTATATACATATGTCTTTATATAGATATACATATGTCTGTATATACATTGTTGATCATATTCCCCAGGTATTGTCTCCCCTTCCTTTCCTTAATCCCCCCTTTCTGTGTGTTCCCTTTGTCCCCCAGAATGTTTTGCTTCTACTTTTATAATATATGTAGACATGACTTTATGTATCTTTATAAAGTCTAGGAACCACAAATGATAGAAAACATAGTCATTAAAAACATGCAATATTTTTTAATATTTTTCTTTCTAAGACTGGTTTAGCTCACTTAATATGATTACCTACAGTTGTGTATGTTTTCTTGCAAATGTCATGGCTTCATTGTTCTTTATGGCTGAAAATTCATATATGTATATATATATATGTGTGTGTGTGTGTGTGTGTGTGTGTGTGTGTGTGTGTGTGTGTGTGTGTATCCCTTATCCATGCCTCTGGTTTTGGACACCTAAGTTGGTTCCACAAGTTAGCTATTGCCAACAGTGATTCAGTGAACACTGGAGTGCAAGTGTCTCCATGGTGGGCTGGTTTGCAGTGCTTTGGGTAAAGGGGTAGTAGAGTCATATGGAATATCTACCTCCATTTAGTCTTTTGGGAAACCTCCATACTTCCACAGTGACTGAACTGGTTTACACGGCCCACAGCAGTGACCATCTCCTCGTCAGTGTTTGTTGTTGTGTTTTTCCTTCATGACTGCCATTCTGACTGGACTAAAGGGAATCTCAGTTTGATTGATCTGCACTTCTCCAGTGCCTAGGGAAGTTGAACTCATTTCATATTAACATATTTGACCAGTTACATTTCATTTTTGAGAACTATCCGTCTGTTAACTTCATTAACCTGTTTGCTTATTGGGTTGATATTTTGTTGCTTAGGGTTTTCTTAGCTATTTGTATATCACAAATAATTAATCCTCTGTCAGGTGTACAGTTGGTCAAGATTTTCTCCCCTTCTGTAGACAGTGCCTTCACGACCAGCTGACTGGTTTCTTTGCTTTGCAGAACTTTTTAATTTCACAGGGTCCCATTTGCCAATGTAAATTTTTTTGTTGTTTTTTTGTTTGTTTGTTTTTCGAGACAGGGCTTCTCTGTAGCTTTGGTGCCTGTCCTGGAACTAGCTCTTGTAGACCAGACTGGCCTCGAACTCCCAGAGGCCAATGTAAATTTTTAAGATTAATTACAACTAAGCTGAGCCATGAGCGTTAAATATATCCAGACTGTGAACTAAATTTTATCTTATCAAAATAGACTAAAATCTTTTGTTTTCACCTTTAAAACATATATAATTCTTCCTATAAAGGTCTGCAGCTTAGCTGAGAACAAGTCGCCTCTCTGGAGTTTCCAATATGCTTTAACATGTAATATTTTTCCAGTCTGTAGGATTAAATATTTTTACCAACTCCAAAATCCACAAACCACGCTTTTGCCAGCCGGTTCGTGCCTATGGAGGAATAGGAGGCGGCTATAGAGGTAAATGTTTGACTTCTTTGTCTGCTAGGATAAATGGAGCAAAAAAATGATGCTTCACTGGGGTAGGGTGGGAGTTTAAAGAATGTTTTTATACAATTGGCTTATACATATATACATATACATCATATACATGTACATCTTAGGCACCACTCAACTCCTTTGGCAATGTATTCACAAGTCACATCTTCTGCCAAAAATAGAACTCAGATGAGATTACTGCTTCTCTCCCTAGCATGCCCTCCCCACTCCCCACTTTTCTCTTTCCCCACATCCCTCCCCTCTCTCCCTTCTCTTGTCAAAATTGGCTTTTTTTTTATCCTAGACATCAGTCATCTCACTTCTTCATATTCCTTCTGTAGACACCACAGCTCAGTCAGTCGTGACAGCATTTGAGGCTTCGGGCCATGCCCAGCACTCCATCTCAGTGGCTGAGCTCCGGGCCACGCCCAGCACTCCATCTCAGTGGCTGAGCTCCGGGCCACGCCCAGCACTCCACCTCAGTGGCTGAGCTCCACGTGGCTTATCTTTAGGCTCACACAGAAGCTGTTTGTGAGTCTGTTTCTTTTGCCTTGCTGAGTCTTGCCTTAAAAGACATCTTTATCCTAACCTCTGTGGCGTTTTATTCTATAATTACACCAATGACTTGTTTGACTATGGTAAGCACACTCCTGAAATACACATTCCACCCTAGAGAGGCTTTCCATTAACCTCTGAAGGTGCCTTTCTACCTTGGTGAATACATTTGCACAGCTGTGTCCCTGGAACTCCCTCCCGTTCCTGGGTTTCCCATCAACCAATGACCCCCTTAAGCTCCACATGCTGAAGTCACAAGGACCAGCTGTAGTGACACCTGATCCCGTGGTGAATAGTGGACTTGTTAAACTTTGTGCACTTGTAGCCTCTTTTCAGATGCAACCCTGGCATGTAGCTGTGGCAAACAGCTATGAATGTAAAATATTTAATGACAGTGAATGATTAAGAAATTTATTTTAAAACAATTCTTTGGTACACCTATGCATTTGCCATTTATTAAAAACAAGGGCAGGGGCTGGAGAGATGGCTCAGTGGTTAAGAGCATTGCCTGCTCTTCCAAAGGTCCTGAGTTCAATTCCCAGCAACCACATGGTGGCTCACAACCATCTGTAATGGGGTCTGGTGCCCTCTTCTGGCCTGCAGATATACACACAGACAGAATATTGTGTACATAATAAAAACAAGGGCAAATAAGCATGCTAATGAGATGAATATGATCATCTCTTTTGCACAAAGGATTAAATTTTGGATGCGTGTTGGATACTATAGGACCTGAAGCATCTTCAGTGTTCCTCAGCCTTGGCTGTTATGTTAACTTTATACTCACCAATACTAACAGTGATACTTCACATAAACACACAGTAAAAACAGTAGTCACGTGTTTATGGCCATTTCAAAAATGATTGGCAGTTCCGGGCTAATTCCATGCTAAAATTCATTGAGCCATTTTATTTTTAATCAAATTCAAGCCAACAACTCAAACAGCAGCAGTTTTTAAAACTCAGACATTCTAAATGATACAATCCAGAGACAGACCAACCCGATGTCTCTGTGCTGGAAGGAAAATATTAAAACTCTTTATTTTTGCAATTCGGCCATTATGCTTCTCTGAGGGCAGCAGCCTTTCTGTGGAGAACAAAACTACCGCAGCTCACAGCACACACCAGCCTGGAGTTTGTGCCAGGTGTTTCGAGCAGTGATGGGCAGTGCAAAGTGCACACGTAGTTTGCTCAGAGCCAAGGTTACAGCAAAATCGATGACGCCAACTGAGAGAGCACTCAGACCATCGCACCTTTGACCATGGACTAGTTTTTGCTGTGGCATCTTCAGAGACCTTCTTGCTGTTGCCCGTCTTTCCCAACCTCTAGACTGGGATACACAGTCCCACATGGAGCTGGGATCCGTGTCCAAGGCTAGGGTGTGTAGCACACACATTCCAAGATCCTACTGTTTACTGCTTGGGTCTCTATCTTGTGCACTGTGAAACGAGACCTATTTCTGAAACCTGGCTGCAGTGAATTTCCTTTCCTGGTCTTTGGTGTTGACTGCCAGTGCCAGTGGAAAACATGACTATCATTTCAAGAGAACAGCCATTTTAGAGAAAGTTATGTTTGCTTTACAAAGAAAAAATATACTCACCTCTGCTCCATGAAGCAATAGGACAAATGTATAAAATATAAAAAGTAATAAACAAAAATATTTTTTAAAAAGTTATTATCAGGTAGATGTCCCTCTCCTACTTAAGAAACAACAACCACTCAAAGTCAGTTATGAGAACTGGTCTCACTGTGGGGCTTGTGTGTTGTCTTCTCAGTAGCACCTCAAGCCTTACCTATGGCAGCAGTCCCAACAGGGAACTTCAGAGGAATGAGTTACGCGATGGCCGTAGACTCGGCAATGAGCGAAGAATTTTCAGAGGTGGAAGTAAGAGAGACCGTGAGGAAATATTTCCCGGAGACCTGGATCTGGGACATGGTGCCACTGGAGTGAGTTGGGTGCCCCTGGGACTTAGCATAGGTGACGGTGTGAGTCCTGCTCTGGGACTTTGGTGTCGTCCTTGGTTCTGGATCCTTTCGGTCCACTTACCTCACAGCAAAACATTTCTTCTCCTTATGTGGCTCCCGGTTTTCAGAAGTAACAGAAAACTGGAAGCTGTCTTCTCCACCAGGGGAAAAGGAAAGGAACAAAGGAAAAGAAAAAGGGAAGGGAGAAGAAATTAAGAATGGGGGGAGAGACAGACCGGGGGAAAAAGAGGAGGAATTCCAGAAAACCCCGAACAGAAGCATCTAGTCCCGAGATCTAGTTCCATGTTTGCTGCACTTGATTTCTGAGTCACCACATTCTGGTTGTTCTTATTTTTGTTTTTTCCTGCCCTTTCTCCTCCACACCAGCGTATCAGGTGGCAGTGAGCTGGCAGTGAAGGTCCCTGATTCCATCACTGAGTGGAAGGCCAGCGCATTCTGCTTGTCCGGAGCTACCGGCCTCGGTCTCTCCCCCACCATCTCTCTCACCGTCTTCCAGCCCTTCTTCCTGGAACTCACCCTCCCCTACTCTGTGGTGCGCGGAGAAGCCTTCACCCTCAAAGCTACCGTGTTCAATTATATGTCTCACAGCATTCGGGTAAGGGCACTTCTCTGGAAGCAAGTGTGAACCCCATCACCCTCCATTACCTAGGGCTCTTCAGACCCCTCCTAGAGCTGAGTGACTGCCTTCATTTCAGAAAGGAACTTACTCAGAGAAAAGCTTTCTGGCGACATCCTGTTTTGTAAATAAATGTTCCCTAAATTCAGATATGGTTTCCACATGATTAGTCTTTCCTTTTGAGATTTTTTTTTTTTTTTTGAGGCAGATAGTCTCACTGTGCACACAGCTCAGGCTGACCTAAAAGTGCCCACCTTCTTGCCTCAACCAGCAGTATGCTGGAATTATAGGACTATGCCACCATGCCCAACTAAATGACTTTGTATTTAAAGTCTGTCTAAAGAAACATCTCTTCCTCCACTGGTGCAGAAAAGTCCCAGGAATTGGCACCATTCCTATGTGTAAAAATCTAAACTTCAAAGTGTGTGCCAGGATTTACCCATTATGAGACATCGCAAAGTCTCTGACCTTGTCTGCACCCTCGACTTCTGACTCTCTCTGCCTGTCTGGGTTTGGGGACAGATCCGTGTGGACCTAGAGAACTCTCCTGATTTCCTGGCAGTCCCAGTGGGAGACCATAAAGACTCTCACTGTATCTACGGCAATGGAAGGAAAACTGTGTCCTGGGCTGTGACCCCGAAGTCACTGGGTGAGTGTCAGAGCTGTTGACTGATTTCATGCTCTGTGTTGCAATGGTTTGCTCTGGCTCTGCTTTCTCTCCTCTTGCATTTAAAACAACCAAGCAGAAAACCACTGTGTACATTGGGGGGGCGGGGGGAACCACACTTATCACAGTAAAACTGTGCTCTTCTGAATTTTCAAATACGTTTATTCACTGTGCATGTGTGCCAGGACACACATGTGGAGGTCAGGTGACAGCTTGTGAGGAGCATGTGGGTCCCAGGGATCAAATCCGGGATGTCAGGCTTGGCAACAAGCTTCTTCAATGTCTGGGTCATCTCCCTAGCCCGAGTATCACCATTTAAAGCCATCAAAATTTTCTCTCCCAGGGGAGGTGAACTTCACAGCCACCGCAGAAGCTTTGCAGTCTGCAGAACTGTGTGGCAATGAGGTGGCAAAAGTGCCAGCCCTCGTACGGAAGGACACTGTAGTCAAGCCCTTGATAGTCGAGGTGTGTGAGTACTGAGTCTGTCTTACGACACTGTGTTTGTAATCTGGGTGACTGTATCTCACTTCCAAGATTGTGCATGAAGCTCAGTGTACTTCAAAGTGTTTAGTTTGGGGTCTTGTTTGGTTTGGTTTGGTTTTGTATGTTATGTATCATTTTACCTTTTTTTTTTTCAACTCTAAGCCTGAAGGAATCGAGAAGGAACAAACATTCAACACACTACTGTGTGCTTCAGGTAAGTGTAACAAAACACAAAATTCTCAAGGTAAGCAATTTGTAGCTGTGGAAAAATCATCTCTGGGATACAGCTTACTCTGAAGAAAAAAATAAACAAAAACTTGTATGCCCTTTCCATGAAACCTAAAGATATCTCATGAAGAGACGCCCTTTTTGATGAAAATCTCTCAAAATATGCTTAATTTCCCAAAAGAATAAAGAATAAATACTATTGATGATATTATCATATTATATTATCATTATTATTATGTTTTTAAGGATAAAAAAGAGGCATGGTGAAAAAGTTGCTGGAAAGCTCCTGGTTAGTGACAAGAACTAAAAGCTTTGACCTGGGACAAGATTCTTTCTAAGTCTAGTCTCTGTGTCTGTAACGCTACTCAAACTATGTTGAGGCTATTGAAGGAACTGTGTGTCCTTGCTTGGTTGTACTGTTACATTAGTAATTTAAATATTTCCATACGTATGCTTTGATTGGCAGTATCTTTAGAGTATCAACAAAGACCCCCCCAGCAGTATTTGATTGATACTGCTAGTTTGACCATATAAAGATCTCCATCTAAAAAGTTGTATGCCATCTAGAATGTTCCTCAAGGTGAGGCTTTACCTACAATCCCATTCCTTATAGAGATGCCCTTCAACTTACAAAGGGGCTGCAACCTATTAAGTCCATCACGAATTGAAAATAATGAGTCAAAAGTCCATTTAATATACCTAACCTATGCGTTCTCATAGATTAGCAACACAATTGTTTGCTCTTCTATTCCTTCCCATGCTGGCTCAGTTGAAACGGAGGACAGCTGTGTCTTCCCGGCATCACTAGAGAGTGCTTCATCCTGCATCACTGGTCCAGGGAAAGGGTGATGCTCAGAATTCTAGGAGCTTATGGTTTCCACTGACTGTGCATCACTTTCACACTCTAGTGACTGGAACCATCATGAGTTAGAGACCATTCATGGAAATATTCTTGGTAGTCTCGTCTACATACAGTGTGTGTGTGTGTGTGTGTGTGTGTGTGTGTGTGTGTGTGTGTGTGTGATCATGTTCCTGTGGAGGGTGTATGTATATGCATATATATGGGGAACAAAGGTCAACCATAGGCATTGTACCTCGGGTGCTATCCACCATGTTTTTGCGAGATAAGGCCCCTCACTAAGCCAGGAAGGTGAGCCAGCTGGCCAGCAAACCCATGGAATCTCCCTGTCTCTGCCCCTCCAGAGCTGAGATTACAATACATCTGGCATTTCCTCCCCCACACAGGTTCTGGGTCTCGAACTCAAGTCCTCACACTTGCAAGGCAAACACCTTACTGACTAAGCCACCTCCCCAGACCGAGGACATAGCTTTAATAACAACTGAGTGCCAGAGTCCACAGATTTACATGCTTCATTGGTGCAGATCTGCTTCCTGAATTCCTTTTTAGCCACCATCCATGCTTACAGGTCTAACAGGTCTAACAGGTACCTCAGAACCACCCTGCCGGCAAAGGAAAGCACTACGGGCCCCACTACGTGCTCCTCCCAACTCCCTTCATCCCATAGTGTGGCAGTTTCGTTCTTCTACATGTCAAGTATAAAAATTGTATCTGCTTTTATCATGTTATTTCTCTTCTACCCCACCCCAATCCATTCACAAACGTAATTGATTCCACTTTCGAGTTACATCAGAATTTACCCACTTCTCGCCACGTCTCCTTCTACGGTAGCCCTTCTCTCCGGCTGGCCTATTTCAGTGACATCCTACCTGGGCTGCATGTGGGGGCACATGCTTGAAACCCTAGCCATTAGAGAAATGACACAGGAACATCACAAGTTTGAGGCCAACCGAGGCGAGACAGTAAGACCAGGTCTCAAAAAAAAAAAAAAAAAGTGAAGTTAGCATTTTCCTAACTGACCTCCTGACCATACCCTCTTGTCCCTGTACAGCAAGGGGGTTCCCTTCAAGAACATGTCAAATCCGTTAGAACCTGTCCTTCCTCTGCCACACCTTTCCTACATTCCACGGTGCCAAAACCCTCACCATCACCCTCAAGCTCTCCCTACCCCTAAACATCATGGCCTGATGCTCTGTCTCTCACTCACTGTGAGCCGGTCACACCAACCTTCTCCTTCCTCTTGGGACAATTTATCACACTTCAGGCTCTAACGTCTTTTTCCTTTTGGTTCATTTTTCCTGGACATATCTTACTCCGTGACTTACTGATGGGCTCTGAACACAATGACTTTATCGAGGAGTCTTTCTATAGCAAGTCACCTCCCCATCCCTCCACTTCCCGGTTGCCCATACTTGACTAGTTCAGCCCTTAAACAGCCTCTTCTAACTTTCTCCAGGAGCCACCAACATCAGTCTCACTAAATACATCTTCACTTGCTTACCTAACCCTTCTCGTAAAAGTAAAAGCTCTAAAAAGTTAGGAAATGAGTTTTGAAAGTCACCATGTAAGACAGAACCCAGCACAATAACACATTTAACGCGTATTCGTGGGATCGATGCCTGTGTAAAAAACATTAACATTGACAGGAATTGTGGCTGGGGAGAGGCTCAGTAGGTAAAGTGCTTCCTGTGCCAGCCTGAGGACCTGAATCTGGATCCCCAGCCCTCACACAAAATCTGAGCAAGACAGTAAGACCACCTGCAATTACACTGTAATCCCAGTCAACACCAGGGGACTGAGGAACAGGGGCAGGAGGAGCCCAGAGGACCACCGGTCAGCCAGTCTGGCTGAAACAGCAAGTTCTAGATTCAGTGAGAGACCCTGGCTCATGGGTGTACGTACATACAGAGAGAGAGAGACAGAGAGACAGAGAGACAGAGAGAGAGAGAGACAGAGACAGAGAGAGAGAAACAGAGAGAGAGACAGAGAGACAGAGAGACAGAGAGACAGAGAGAATATAATCCCTAAGGGGAAAGAAGGGAGCCTTTGTAATGTATATGCTTATAAGAAAAGCTATAGACATTTAGTACAAATATATAAGCCATATGAACTTTGCCGTGAAACAAATGGTGACTTTGGGAGAAACTGAATTGCCTCAAGAAATCACTTAAGGTTCAAGAGAAACAAAAAGATTGCATCTAGATAATGTTGAGGAACAATATTCATGACAACATAGAGTGTTTCTTTCACCCCTCCCCACGCGCACTATTACTGTCTAATACCTCGTTTGTCTTTTTTCTTAGATACTGAATTACTTGACGAGTGGTCACTGATCCTTCCACCCAACGTGGTTGAAGGATCTGCCAGGGCTACACACTCCGTTCTGGGTAAGTCTCTCAGCTCCAGCCATAACAGCTGTCTCTCTCTGTGTGTAAGCCCAGTACACACGGGGCCTCGCCATGCATAACGGGCACCAGATGTTGACTTGAGGAAGGAGTCGCAAGCTCAGGGCTACCCTGTGTGAGAGCGAGGAAGTGGGTTTGACAGCTGCTGTATGCTTTGGTTAACTCTGTCAGCTGATAAGGGCTGTGCCTCATCTTCAGTGATCAACAGGGTGACAGTGTGCCTAGATATGAAAACAGTAGTTCCATTTTCCCAGACATTATGGCTCACCAGAAAAGATGTTATCTCTTGCCATTCAGTTTCTTCCTTGCTCTCTGTTTTTCTCATTTTTTTTTGTATAATTCTTTTTGTCTTCCATTCCATTAGTAATATGGCCTCTTGGTCATATTTTCTTATTCCAGCACAAACCATCTCCATATTCCTCTAATTTGTAATAACCTTTTACTCCTCAGGCGATATACTAGGCTCTGCAATGCAAAACCTCCAAAATCTTCTCAAGATGCCCTATGGCTGTGGAGAACAAAATATGGTCCTTTTTGTTCCTAACATCTATGTCCTAAACTATCTGAATGAGACACAACAGCTGTCAGAGGCGATCAAGTCCAAAGCCATCGGCTACCTCGTCAGTGGTGAGCAATTTTACCTGCGCTCCTAAATGCCTGCTGTTTGGTTCAGATTCGGTCATCACTGTTGCTGTGATTTCCAATCAAATACCCCTCGCTAGAATAATGACTCCCAACACTGTTGATACCTTTGGAAACATGTTGAGTAAAACATGTTCACTCAATGGTTCTCTGATAGGGTTAAGATAGGTGAAGAATTGCCGCGAACCTCCCCTGTGTCTGCGCTGTGTGCGCTGGCACCCAATTCACTAGCTTCTGGCAAGTGGGTTGGAGATTAAAATACACAGACACACACAGACAGAGAGACAGCGACACTGGTCATCCTTGAATTCCCCAAGAATGCCCCCTTTATTGTGTTCAGGGGCAGATTATATAGAGATAGCCACGCCCCAGCCAAACCCACCAGAAACCACTCTCCTGCCATCAGGAACTCCTGAAGGTCTCGTGCTCAGAGCAGCTGTAGGCACTCGGATCAGGGGATTACAAGAAATTCAGGATCTGGGATCTCATTGCTCCCAACAAAGAACAATAATTGTCTAGTATCACTCTACTTCATAAACGACTGAATTCCCTCTTCAGGGTATCAGCGGCAGCTGAACTATCAGCACAGTGATGGTTCATTCAGCACATTCGGGAACCGTGGTGGGAACAGCCTGGGAAATACCTGGTAAGATGAAATTAACTGTGTCTTCATGCTCTCCTGATCCAAGGCATTTCAGGAGTCTAGAAACTGCTGTTCTCTGTACCTGGGATTCTTTTCTGGAAGGGTTACTTATTCTCAAAACTCCAAATGTCATCCCTCCTGACCGCTGCAACCCCACCTGCTCTGCCGGCACAGCTGGTAAAAGCAAAGCAAAGAAATAAAGGTGTAAGGCCAGAAGTACAGTTGTCCACCGTGGAAACTTTCTTGCTGCCCTTTAGAAGAGGCAAGGTGGAGATCAGGGAGAGAGATGCAGAGCGGTACAACTGGAAGTCATCTGGGAAATGCAGTTTTGACGGGAGGGTTCTGTGACAGTTCAAAAAGAGATAAATTTTGTAAGACCAAAAGACTGAAAACTATCAACTAAGACCCTCCAAAACGGCTTCCACCCAACTGTGAAGACCAGGGTCTGTAGAAAACACATGGTGAACTGTAAAAGTGAGGTGGGTGGCCCTGCTCTCGGCCCCTTTTCTGCCTGCAGGCTCACTGCATTCGTGCTCAAGGCCTTCGCTCAAGCGCAGTCCCACATCTTTATAGAGAAGATGCACATCACGAAAGCGCTCAACTGGCTCTCAGGGAAGCAGAAGGAAAACGGTTGCTTCGAGCAGTCTGGACACCTGCTCAACAATGCAATGAAGGTGATGTCCTGGTACTCTGGACTGAGTGCTGTGATGTGTAGGGAGGAGGTGGTGCCCTGGTCCTCTGGACTGAGCGCTGTGATGTGTAGGGAGGAAAGTGATGCCCTGGTCCTCTAGACTGAACGTTGTGATGGGTATGGAGGAAGGCTTCTATAAGAGTTCTCCAGTCCTTGGGGGCTGGAGAGATGACTCAGTGGTTAAGAGCGTTTGGTGCTATTGCAGAGGACCAGTTTGATTCCCAGCATCCTCCTCAAGCAGTTCACAACCACCTGTAACTCTAGCTCCAGATGACCCAGTGCCCTCTTCTGGCCTCTGTGGGTATTTCACTCGTGCACAAATGGACACATAAATACCCAAATATACACGATTTTAAAAAAAAAAGATAGTTTGTTTTCTTTTAAAAAAATAAAAAAAATTAAAAAGAGTTCTCCAGTCCTAATGGCATAGCATGGAGGTCTAATGCCGAAATGTGAGAGTTCCCGCTCTATCCTTCCAGGGTGGCGTGAGTGATGAGGTGACGCTCTCTGCCTACATCACCATCGCGTTGCTGGAGATTCCACTGTCTGCCGAGGTACCTACACACCCATCCCTACACCTCCCTCACAGACTTAAAGAATAAAAATAAAAACCACATAATTACGATCCCCTGAGGGAAACCTCCAGTTTCTGTGGTCTTTATTTTGGTACATTTCACTGTCACGTTTTTAACCACTCCCCGATACAAACTCTACTGCCGGGGTGTCACAGCATGACTCTCAACCTGGGGTTAGCCTGGGCATAGTTCCTTAGCCTGGTTCTGCTATTTTGAAATTGGCTCTCATCTTCTTTTATAGCACAGTATCGTCCGCAATGCTCTCTATTGCCTGGAAACAGCCTGGGCCTCCATCTCAGGGAGCCAAGGAAGTCATGTCTATACTAAGGCGTTGTTGGCCTATGCCTTCGCCCTGGCAGGAAACCAAGTCAAGCGAAGCGAGCTGCTTGAATCACTAAACAAAGAGGCTGTGAAAGAAGGTAGGCGCTTCTATTGCAAAGTCTGTCTAACTAGAAGTCACTAACGATGCAAAGGCAGAGTCACTCTTGTGCCACCTCAGTCAGAAAGACAGCAAGAGAAACTGTCATTGGCCCAACACTTAAGTGATAGGAACCATTTTATTGACACACGCATTACTGATTTTATATACTCCAACTGCTGGTGCCACACAAGTATGTAAGAGACACAAAGACTCCCCAAGTGATCATCTAGGAATTTGGTCAAGGTCTGCTTGTTAGTAGGCATGGTGGCTCATGCCTTTAATCCCAGAACTTGGGAGGAAGAGACAGGGGATCTCTGAGTTCGAGTTTGAGACCAGCCTGGTCTAGATAATGAGTATCTATCTCAAAAAAAAAAATGTGCTTGATAGATCTGCTATAGGCTGTTCTAAGGCATCCGTTCATTTCATCTGTGCCAGTTCATTAGCTGACCTACCTCATCATCACTCATGGGATAGATCTTAAAGCCATGTTTTAAACTTAAAATCTTTTTTCTTTCCATTTGAAAGAGGATTCAATCCACTGGCGACGTCCCGGGAACATTCAGGAAGCAGAGACGCCCTACTATCGCCCACGGGCCCCTTCTGCTGAAGTGGAAATGACAGCTTATGTGCTTCTCGCCTACCTGACGGCTCTGCCATCCCCGTCTTCAGAGGACCTGTCTTCTGCATCCCAGATTGTGAAGTGGATCATCAGGCAGCAAAACTCCTACGGAGGCTTCTCCTCCACTCAGGTCTGTAGGGAGACCCTAGGAGGGAAAGATAAATCAACTAATCCATCTATAAACGCAAACATATTCTAGGGATTAGAGCTGAAACATCATCCCTCCATCACCAGGTCCCAGCCTGATTCACATACGGATCAAGGCTCTGTCCTCCTTACCTTCTCATTGTCTTCTCCCCAAAGCGGGTCCACAGCATCCCCAGGGGCCAGTTTTCCAAAGCACTATGTCTGTGGAATTACTTCCATGAGAAAATTAACTTTATGTTCATCTGCAGACTAAAATTCTCTAATATTCTGCCTAAGCCACTTCCTGTCCACAATAAATGTGTGCTCATGTAGCTGGTTAGGCAAGTCCTTAGGCGGAATGGACTTGCTGCCGTTGCTGGGGCTGTTTAAACCATCCCAGCTCTTCCACGATGCCCATCACCCTCTCCATAAACACTTTTCATTACTCAAGAATTATCTCATTTCTCATCTTCAGTCTTCTTTTTCTATCTTAGCCTACATTTTCTTCTCCATTTCAGATTTCTACAACAAATACTGCTAGAGAGACTTATAAATTACTAATGGTATATGTTCAGTTCAGATCTCTGTATATATTGTAATCTGTGTAGATGATAAAACTTATTCTCTCTGAAATACCTAGACTGGGTCACCACTAGTATGCAGGATGGAATGGTATTGAAATTACAGTGATTAACTGTGCTTTTTGTCTAAATAATCCTGAAAGGAAGCAGTGTTGGCACTATGCATCAGTGTGGACTGCTATCTCTCAATCCACTGTGATTTCTGTATCTTTCCTTCTCTCAGGATACAGTGGTGGCCCTCCAAGCCCTCTCCAAATACGGAGCAGCCACTTTCACAAAAAGTAAGAAAGAAGTGTTGGTCACCATCAAGTCTTCAGGGACATACTCTCAGAAGTTCACTGTTCACAACGCCAACCGCCTGCTGCTGCAGGAAGTCAGACTGCCGGATCTTCCTGGAAATTACATCACCACCGTGTCAGGGTCTGGATGTGCATACCTCCAGGTGAGACCCCCAGGGCCCAGATACTGGGCACATGGAAGAGAAAGTGTCAAGGGTTACATGTTCATTGCAAAACTAAAAGGGGAAATATGTTCTAAATCAAGAGTTGAGTTATTTAGCCAGGCAGTGGTGGTACATGCCTTTAATCCCAGCACTTGGGAGGCAGAGGCAGGCGGATCTTTTGAGTCCAGCCTGATCTACAAGAGCTTGTTCCAGGTCAGGCTCCAAAGCTACAGAGAAAAACTGTCTCAAAAAAAACAAACAAAAAAAAAAGAGTTGAGTTAACTTAGAAACTTCGAAGAGGCTGTGAGATGTTTTCAGCACTGAGATAAGGAATTTTGTTCTTGTTGTTTTCAGACATCGCTAAAATACAACATCCTTCCAAAGACAGAAGGAAGAGCGCCCTTCACTCTGCAGGTCAATACTCTCCCCATAAACATTGATGAAAATCACAGAACTTTCCAGATTCACATCAACGTAAGGTAAAACCTAAGTTGCAACCAGTCTGCTTATAAGACATGGGGAAAAAATGGGTTAATGCCTGTAGAAGAAATACATTATGCAAAGTTAATCTTAACAGAAATGGAGTCTTGTATTCATGAACCAGGACATTTTCTTAACTCTTACTGAAAGGCCTTAGCGTTGAGACTATATCTCAGGAATATACACATACACATAAATATATACACACATCATCTCTCTAAAGAGAGGAGAGGAACATAGTGAGATTTCAAATAACTACACAGATACGGTTGACAGAGACATGAGTGACAATGAAGATTAGACTTCTGGTTCCATCGATCCCGAGGAACCTTGTTGAAAGGACTTAACTCTGTGCGTTACCTTCCCAGTTACACTGGAGAACGATCCAGCTCCAACATGGTCATTGTTGACGTGAAAATGGTATCAGGCTTCATACCTGTGAAGTCAACTGTGAGAAAGGTAAACCCCACGCCATCAGCAGAAAAGGCTAAATGCAGGAGGGGCTTGGTTCTGCCTCTACTTAATATGCCAGGCTTTGTTGACTCCCCATGGGAGGAGACCTTACCCTTTCTGAGGAATGGATAGGGGGTGTGGGGGACATGTGGGGGGGAGCAGGAGGAGGAACTGTGGTAGGTAGGCAAAGTGAATTTTAAAAAGAAAGAAAAAGGCTGAACACTAAACCACAGGTGGAAAGGGTTAACACTAACTCTTGCAGGTGGCAATGTCACACTGGTTTTCTGTTTGATTTCACTGATGCAGTTTTCAAGAGGCTTACTCCTGCAAACTTGCCTCTCCAGAGTGTGATTCCTTCTTTTATTATTGCATATACTGGTTACAGTGTGTTGTGTTTGAGGCCTAAGTCTTACCATTAGTTTTAGATAAAATGCTGCAGTTCCCCGAGGGGTGGCAGCAGGCAGTAAACCACGAGGGCAGCCAGGTCCCTTCACCCCAGGCCTCTGTAAGTCCCAGGCAGGTGGGAGGCAGCGGGTGAGAGACCTCAGCGGGTCATTGGCAGGGCAGCAAGTCCCACAAGGAGGTGGCCGGTGAGAGACAGAGAGAAATTGTCACTCCATGCAGAGAGAGGGTTTGGGTATTTTATTCAATGGGTTATGGGAAGAAAGGGAAGGGGGAGAGAGAGAGAAACAGAGAGCGGGGAGAGAAGAGGAGAGAAGCCACAGCAGCCACCTCTGCAGACAGGGCAGAGAGAGCACAGGCTGGAAGCAGAAGGAAAATCTGCTTGCCTATGTAGAAGCGGGGAGGAGTGGGCAGGTCTTGTCTCTTAAAGGGACAGGTCAGACCATTACAGTAAGTTCTAGCCTATATCCAATTCTAGCAAACCATTCGCTATCAGATTTGTGGACACACACACACACACACACACACACACACATATCTCCTTATACATTTCTAGCTTGTGTATGTATACATATGTATGAATAGAAAGGATTCAATAAATATTAGCATTATAACTAGTGTTCCTAGAGAAATAAAAAATTAGTAGTTTGGATTCTCCAGAAAAGCCTCGTATGTGAAAAATACCTGAAAGCTTCTCCTAGCATAAACCTTCCTCACTCCATAATTCTGGCTTATCAACAGCTCCAAAACCAGCCTAACATTCAGAGGACTGACGTGACCACCAACCATGTTCTAGTCTACATTGAAAAGGTAAGATGTGTGACTCTGGGATCTGTAAAAATTGCTGGAGTGTCTAAATCCAGCAGGATTCCAAAGAGTCAGTCTCCACCACCTTTCTCTCTCTCTCTCTCTCTCTCTCTCTCTCTCACACACACACACACACACACACACACACACACACACACACACTACTACTACTAAGGAAAATGAACCAGGACTGGCCAGCAAAGCTGTTTATGACACTTTTAACCATCCGCAGAACTTTGTTCTTTCATTTTTATTGGTTATGTTATAGAGATCAAAACTTCCCATTTTCTTCTAGGCTGTGAGAGAGGAGATTGCACACTCCTACAGCTTAGTATATCTTAAGAAAACAAGATGGTGACTGACGACTAAGTTAATCATTGAGTCCAATTCTGTTCTCTCGTCTTTTCAGCTAACCAGTCAAAGCCTGAGTTTCTCCTTCTTGGTGGAACAAGACATTCCAGTAAAGAACTTAAAACCAGCTCCAGTAAAAGTCTATGATTATTATGAGACAGGTAAGTGGAATCCAGATATGCCGAGCTTTGATAGGAAATAGAGCCTAGCCTAATTAGAGGTTATCTTAAATAAAATGAAACTCCGTAATCTTTCACTGGAAGAAAAAGTGAGTTTTTATGGTCACTTACAGTTATGTTTCTATGTATTACCCTTTTGGGTGCACTTAAACAAGCCTTAGGGCCACCCTGGTGAAAAACATCATGAAACAATTGGCCATGGGTTCTATTTAAATTTCCCTGTAGGGCTGGTTAGATGGCTCAGCGGTTTAGAGCATTGCCTGCTCTTTCAAAGGTTCAATTCCCAGCAACCGCATGGTGGCTCACAACCACCTGTAATGAGGTCTGGTGCCCTCTTCTGGCCTGCAGGCATACACACAGACAGAACATTGTATACATAATAAATAAATAAATAAATAAATAAATAAATAAATAAATAAATAAAATTATTTTAAATTTCCCTGTAAAGTTGCTTGCTCTAGGCTGAATTATTCTGGAAAGGTAAAAATAGCAATAATTTTTTTAATCACATCTTGCTACTGATGTGTGATATAGAACCTATCATTTGATCTATTTTTTTAAAGTGCTGTAGATAAACCCCCAAAATGAGAGGAGACTGGATAGAGCAAGAAATTCTTCTGTTTTTTTCCTGACTTTGAACTTGCCAGCGTTATGTCATGTTGGCAGAATTAAACGATGTCTCCTCATTAAATGGAGGAAATACACAGAGAGAAAGTCATAATGCCAGCAGGAAGCATAGGCATGGGAAGGGACCGTCTGAGTCTTGTGGGTCCAGAGGCACAGCAAGCCCTCAGTTCTGTTCCAGATCCTGGTTCTCTTAGTCTCCACCACAAAACAAAATAGCTTAGTGTAGACTTTATTTCCGTTGATTCTGTAGCTGTGATTTAAACTTTCGTTCTTTGCAGACAGGGCTTACCCACAATTAACCACTTTCTACCTAATCATTTCTGTGTTCTAGATGAATTCGCCATTGAAGAATACAGTGCCCCTTTCAACACTGGTATGGTATAAATAGTACAATTAAATGCCAATTTAAAGAAAATAAACAAGCATCTGCTTTAGTTTTCCATACTAGGGTGGTTTTTTTAGTAGAACATTTTGTATTATTTTGATTCTGATGTATCATCAATAAATTGGACTGTATCAAATACACTGTAGAATTTTTTAATAGAAATATGCTAGTGAAATATAGTTACTGATGCCTGGTAATGACTTATTTTTAGCTGAATTTAAGAATTTGAGAGATTTATTTGAGAGAGGGAGAGAGAGAGAGAGAGAGAGAGAGAGAGAGAGAGAGAGAGAGAGAGAACATGAGGTTGGGTAGAGAGAAGGTGAAGAAGATCTGGGAGGAGGTGAAGGAGGGGAAATAATATGATCAAAATACACTTAATTTTTCAAATTAAAAAATATATAAAAGAATTTTTAAGGCACAAAAATTAAATCAACTAAAGTTTACGTTCTACACCCGGTGGCCACCAACATTTTTAAGACATTTTTAAGTGTGCACTGGTTAAGCCCAGTGTCCCTGTGATTAGCCACATGACACAACCTGAGAGGACACATATAAAAGACATTCCTTTAGGCTGATTGACAAAATCATTTTCTGTGGCACTTTTGACTCTCTCTCTTAAACTTTGAAGAAAATCTGAGAACAGTTTCCTTGTTAAATATAATTAAATTTAAAGATTTATAATTGAATGTTAAAATTAGTTCTTTTAATAGGTTCTTGACGTCCCTTGATATTTCTACTCTTCTGTTTAGACTCTGAACAAGGAAATGCTTAAAAATGGGAACCTGTAGATCTCGCCAGATGGACGTCTCCAGGCATGAAGAACCAAGACCTGTTAGAAGAACAGACAGTGAATAAATGGGAGGGAATTAGAGATACATGAAATTTATATATTGAATAAAGTTATGGCATTTACAATTATATTTTCTTTTCGTACTTTTATCATTATATTTATTTTCTGAAATATGGTTTTAGCTCCTTAAGAGTGCTTAAAGAAGCTACAGAAAGAGATACATTAGAAAACACTATGAAGTGGAATTTAAAAAAAAAAAGTGTTTGGTCAACCCACAAGAACACCGAGGAAATGATCCCATGTTTTCTAACATTGAAAAACAGCCCAAAAGCTCATCAGTAGGCCCACGACAGTCTAACACGGTGTGTCTGTCCAGACCAGGGTGCTACTGCACAATATTAGATGGTGCCCACCTGCCTAAGTCTGCTGGGGGACAAACTAAAAGAATTCCAGACAAAGAGAGAAAGCGGTGATATCAGGAGTGAGAGTGACTGGGTTGGTTTGTCTTTTCCAGTTCACTTTAAAGTCTGTTTCTAACTTTACTATCTAGTTTCATTTGTTCTATCCCATGAGAACTCTTCCGATGCTTACAAAGGAAGGCGACCAACAGGCCTCTTTTAGTTGCATATTTTTATGTTGCATTTGTTCCCATCCCGTAAGCTTGTCTTTCTTTGGTTTCTTCTGGAATGCCTTCTCTTCTGTGCAGCCTCCTGATTCGGCTCTGGAACAGCTTGTTCATTTTCAGTGAGGATCATCTCAGTGTGGAGGGGCAGGGGGACCTCATTTGAGGGTTTAGGACACATCTTGGGTGCTTTGCTCACCCAGATGTGTTCAGTGACCAGAGACTCTGCATCTAAACCCCTGAGTTCTGCATCATTTTATTTTATTTATTTATACTTCAAGTACAAGTGGTCTGCATGTGTACGTGCAGGCCAGAAGAGGGCATCAGATCCTATTACAGATGGTTGTGAGCCCCCATGTGGTTGCTGGGAACTGAACTCAGGACCTCTGGAAGAGCAGCCATTGCTCTTAATCCCTGCATCATCTCTCCAGTCCCCGCTCTCTGCATTTCTAAGCGCGAGCAGCTCTGTCAAAAAAATAAAAAAGCAATTCTTCTTTCAGTGTTCAGACAGACCTGGCCTCTGCCTCAGCAGGCTGCATGTCTTGCACTGAACATTGGCCCTGCCTGCTCTGTGTTCTCTTGTCTTCAGATTGACCTGTCTTTTGGTTCTCAGGTGCCCTGTCTCATTAACATTCACTCCCAGAAATTACTGCCCAACTCTAAGGTGACAACATCCACAGCTACTCAGGCTGAGGCATGGATAGATCGTTGTTTCCAAAGAAATCCACATCCATGGGCTATAAAGCCCCACAGATGGAACAGCCGGAATGTGCAGAGACATTCCCGAGTGTGTTGTTCACCCTCTGATATTTCCACAATGTTGTAAGCGTCAGACAAGCTCAGCCTGACCTGAGACTAGAAACCAAGGCACGGAAAATTCTGTGCACGTTTTTTAAACTCCTGTGTGTAGATCATGTGCTATCTTCCAGAGTGTGATAGAGGCACAAACCATAGATCTACAATGAGATACTGGAAATGTCTGATGACGTCATCTGTCTGGGCAGGCACTGAACAATCAGAGTCCTTTGGTGGTGCCCTGCCGCCATATAATCCAGCCAAGTTCAGAATCACAAAATAGGCTTGGTTTCTCGGTTTGTGTGGTTGTTAGGGGTTAGTTTGATTTGATTTATGAGTTTTAGAAGGGCTTCAGAAGGTGAGCAATGTTGTTGGGGTTTTTTTTTTTGTTTTGTTTTGTTTTTTGTTTTATGGGACATCATAATCTTGCTGTATGTCACAGGCTGGTCTCAAACTCAGAATCCTCCTCCCCAGCCTTACAAATGCTGGGATTACGGTTGTATGAAATTCAACCTGGATATATAATATATATTCTTTCTTACATATTTATTCTTTCCTCATACATTACATCCTGACTGCAGTTTATTCTTAAAAGAAGCAAAGCCCAGAAAATTCCCCACAAAAGTTTTGATAGGAGTGTCTCCAGAGACCAAGCTAGAGAAGATCTGGGAAATGTTGAAACTGATCTTCCAGGATCTATCTGTAGGAGGCACCAGGGAGAGGTCACTACTATGCTGAGATGTGATAAACTAATTCCTAAACTCAACAAAATGCTGATGTTGTAAACAAAGAATTCATTGCAAATGAACACTAGAAAGTATCTCTTAAATAAGTCTTCCTGTTTTCATGACATTGAATTTTCTTGAGTTGCTTTTTGAACTCGATACTTGTTGGAGACCAGCCTCAACAAAAAAATACCTCTGCCAGGGTAGAGACGTGGGGATTTAGAAATATGGTAAAATATATGAAGACACAAATAAAAATAATAAAGCAGAGAAACATAGAATAGTGCTGGAAGGAAATTCCAGTGAGTACTGAAATTCTCCCGTGTTTAATTTCCCACTGTTTAAAATACCCCTGATCCCAAAAGGTAGGAATAAGACAAAAAACTGCATTAACAAGATACAAGGAAATGAACAGACCAGTTAAAGGTTGCAGGCTACATCCAGAGTTAAACATTCTGTTGCTAGAACAAAACAAGTCACACTCACACCCTAGACCAAAACATTCTATAGGCAAATCACTCCCTGGGTGGAATCCCAAGTTATTTCCATAAAGGAACTGGACCCCTTAGTTGGATCCTTAGACTTTTGTTTGAGGTAGAAACATATCTACTTTTCTTTTTCTAAAGTACAAGGTCTGGCCATTAGCCACACCTGTTGACAATAACCTTGAGAGAGCAGTTGGTTAGGTGGGACCTTCGTTTGAGGTAGAAGCAAGCACAATAACCTTGAGAGAACCCTCTGACCTTTGGTCAATATGGAAATAGGTTCATATTTTGGGGGCCTCCACAGGTACTGTGTGTGTGTTGCACACATGTGGCTATAAAGTTGTGTATGTACAACCACACATGCAGATGCCCGAGGAAGACAATAGTATCCTCTTATGTTAGTCTCTATCTTACTCCCTTGGGACAGGGTCCCTCAGTGAACCAGGAGCTGGCCATGTAGGCTGGGCTGAGTGGCCAATGAGCTCCAGGACCCCTGTCTCCTCATTCCAATAGCAGGCACACGCAGCCATGCTCAGCTTTTTATGGGCATTCTGGGAATTCAAATTCAGTCCTCAGGCTTGCAGAGAAAGCTCTCACCCACGAAGCCATCTTTGCAAATTTAGATACTATATTTTTTATTATAGATTGACTTAACTACATTTATAATGCTGGGTATTAAAACCAGGATCTCACCAAGATCAGGCAAGCACTGACCCATCCATGAAAGTGAAGGTTTTTGTGAAGTAGGTAGACACTAACACATATGAAGGTACAGGCTATAATAGAAAGAAACACAGGATAGAATGCTAAGAGGTCACCTGATACTCTCTGCTTCCTGATAGGTAAGTGGGGGAGATGGTGTTATGGTTTTCTGTCTCTTTAAGAGACAAGCCATGCCCACTCCCTCCCCCATCCGCTGAGGCAGGCTGATCTTCAGCTTCCGGCCTGAGCTCGCTCTCTTTTCCATCTTCCTCTCGGAGAGGCAGCTTTGCTTCTGCCTCTCTCCCCATTTCTCTGCTTCCCCCCTTCTCTCTTTCTCCTCTTCTCTCTCTCTCTCTCTCTCTCCCCCCCCCTTCACCCTTTCCACTCCACAACCCCCTGAATAAATATTCAGCCTCACTCTGCAAGTCGTGTCTATCCATGTCTCTGTCTTCTGCCCGCCCGCCATTTGTCTCCCTGCCTGGGACCACCCACTGCTCAGGGACCGCAGCGTCTCTGCCTGGGACTGGCTGCTCGCAGGGCCCGCTGTCTGCTGCCACATGGCCCTCTACCACCATTTGGGACCTACAGCATTTCTGCTGCCTACTGCCGCCAGGGATCTTGCAGCATTTTTTAAAAAATTATAAAAGATGAAGCAGGGCCTAAGGTCTCATAGAAGGGTCATTGCAGTAGCTAGACTATTTCATTAAATCTCCCCTCAATTAAAAAAAAAAGTGTAAGCAGAGTGGGCCCGCTCACATTTATACTCTAACCACATTTGAAACCTGCTTTGCTATATCGTCTGGGGCTATAGACAGTTTACCAATATTGAATTTCTGGGAAGTTCGGACAATTCAGTGTTTTTGTAAGGGAATCTAGGTGATGCTCTCGGGATCCACACTGTAGCAGTGTATGGAAAGACAGGAAGCCTGGGCATTGCAGCTCAGGTGGAATGTGGGCTCTGTCTTAGTCTGGGTGTACTTTGCCATCATGAAAATGCAGGATGCTCAGATGACAATTGACAGGGAAGGATGTGGGAACCAAATGCCAGAGTCCACAGAGCCCTCCTTTCCCTATTCCTTGTTGACCTTGGAGGGGCCTGAAGGAGGAGCAGTAGGTGCAGAGACCCAGGAGAGAAGCTATATACTGTACCCTAGAGTCTTAGTGGGCTTGGGGTATGGGGACTGCCCTCAAACGTCAGGAGTCATGGACACCTGAGTACTAGGATGAACAGTGTCTGCCTACGGTCCTGGGAGAGATCCAGATGCCTGTGTCCATCTACCCGCTACTCTGGTTATACACCAAACTGAGTCCTAGGCACGTACCAGCCTCCAAGGATGCTTTTCCTTGACCGTTATCAGCTGCCACCTTCTACTTAACTGAGGGTACAGGGGTGTGACCCTGCAAAGTTCCAGGCCCTCTGTGTTCACAAACCAACATGTCGACTTTGCTGTGTCTTTCACTGTCTGAAAATGAACTGACTCAGAGGAGTCGCCTACCAGGGAATAGACCACAGAGGAAACCTGTTCAAACACCCTGCCGTGACTGCCTTGGTCACTATAAAGAAAGCACGTATTGAAAGGTTAAATAATTCTTGCCTTTAAGTCCCAGGCAGCTGTGTGACAAGGCTGGTATGGTGTCCCCACTGTGGCCCCCTAGTGGAATATACCGTCTTTGCGACCCCGGTGGGAGACAGCCACAGTGCCTAGGATCATCCAGGCCAGCCTCATTCAGGCTCTGTCCACCCCACTTCCTTCCTCTTTCGGCAGCTCTCTCCTGCTCAGCTCGGAAATCTGACAAAC